TCTGCCCAGTCTTCTTTCAAGTTATACCTGTCTGTTCATTTTTTTTCTAATTCCTTAACATTGGCATCCCCTCACATAATCTGAAGTTTACTCATTCAAAAGTATTCACGTGAATACCTGTGGTAAGTACTTTGGGCACAAAGCTGTACAAGATAGAGGCTAACATGTTCGCAGGGCTTCTTATCTAGCAGAGGATGCAGACAATGAAATGAGCTATTACAGCAGTGAGGAATGAGGCAGGGGAAGTGTTGGGTGCCATGGAAGCACTTTCGGGAAAACTAACTCATCCTTTGAGTATCACATGAGACATCCTGGAGGAAGTGGTATTTAAATTGGCACCCGAAGTTTAAACCAGACAATGGGAAAGAAAGCAAGAAATGATCAGGAGAGATTACCTCGGGCAGGAGAACTAGAGTACCTGAATACCAGGGCAGAGAAAGAGTGCGTGGCTTATTAAGACATTGAAAAAATGCTTGAGAAGCTGAGTGCTGAAAGCAGTAGCAGCTCACGGCCCAGGTTATACAGGTAGGAAGTTTGGTCTCTATACTAACAGCATTGGGAAAGCTCTGAAGCACTTTTAGAAAAGTGGCATGCCATATGGGTGTGTAGCCTCCTATTCCTGGCCTCCTGATCTAATAGGTACATTTTACTCACAATCAAAATCAGGATTCTGATGGCTAGTTATACCAATTTACCATTGGAGGGTTTGTCAAAATGAACCAGGAAAGCTTTAGTCATGCCATGTAGATACATTCTCATATTGATAGCTAATCTGAGTGACTTCACTAAAAATACCTCTTCTTCATTTGATGATTGTAGACTACTTTTGGTGCTGATAACTTCACTATTCTTTATGATGGTTGTAAGGTGTATTTTGAGATATCAGTCCACAAAAGGCATCTTATTGTGGGAAATACAGCCAGATTGTTCTCCAGATGACATCATCAGAAAGAAAACACTGAAGTCTAATTAAAATGTAGCATAGATTGTATCACTTAGGCTTTCTAATAACTATTTCTAATAACTAGAGAAAAAAGACTGATAATCTATTTCCACACACTCTAGACAGCCTTATGTTTACTTTTAAATGTTGAAAGGCAGAGCAAGTGAACATGGAAGAACCAGTCATATCTCCTTTAAATACACAGTATCCACTAATTAATTCATAATAAATATTTCAGAAAACCTGGTAACTCCTAGGTAGCTTATGAAGATTAAAGAAAGAATTTTTTTCTCCTTCTGGAGAAAAATTGACCAAAATATTAGAACCCAGTAAGAAACTCCTAGTAAGAAAGAGTTAATACAATGTGTCAATAAGATGCTATAGTTTGCAGTGTGATAAGTGCAATCTTCCTTCACCTTTCTATTCCTAAATTGGAGTTACAATGAATGGGTGGATGAGTGAGACTAAAACTGTTACTTTCTGCTCTAAAGATGATAAACTTGTTTTTTAGTCTGGCCTATGCACTGTCTTATTCCCATCTCTCTCTCTCTCACACACACACACACACACACACACACACACACACATACACACACGTGAAAAAACCAGATGCCACAGAGATGGCCACTCCAATTCCTTGAAATTTTTTAATTATAAATAAATTTAAATAATTTCACTTACCTCCTTTATATTCTTTGGAAAAAATTCAAGAAACACAAATTATATTCAAGAAACCATACTAAGAAATGCAAAACATACTTTTCAATTCTATATTACAGAAATTTTTTTTTAAAAAGCAGAGAGAAAATGTATGTGCATGTATAGATATAGAATATGTACCTATATAAGCATGTCTGTGTATGTGTGTGTATGCATATATATATATATATATATATGCATGCCTGTATATGTGTGTATGTATATATACATATACATATATATATATAACAGAGATGTATAAATACTGAGGGAAAGAGAACACAAGGCAGGGGGACACAGAATAAAATCCACAGAAGTACAAGTAAAGAATAGAGGAAGCAATCCAGAAACCTACAGAGAGGGGCAACAGCCTGGAGGCCTTTGACCTTCCTATTCAGCTGGCCTGAGAACATTAGAGCAGATGAGCAGCTCCTGTAACCACCCTTCAGTTCTCCAATGACCTCTGCACCATTTGGAAATCATCCTTTCTCCAGGACAAAAATAATTGTCCCCTTTTTATTTACAAATTTAAAATGGGGAATTTTGAAATACTTGTTCTACTTAGGAATTAACATTCACTGAAGACAGATCAACTCCAGAGGCCCTAGGCTCCCCAGACCTGTTGTCTGCGGCTCTTGGAAGTGCAGTATTTCCCCTCCACTGTTTGTTGTTGCTGCCCTTGTTACTGCTCTAATGGCCACTGCCTACATATCTGGGTAAAATCCTTCTCTAGAGGTCTCATGTGAGACCTACATGTATAATTTGGCCCCTTTATGCTGGTGTTTCTTCAGAATCCTGCAGATTGCAATCCCCTCTCTAGCTGCAGATGAACATAACAGACCTAGACAGGATGTGGTGTCCCCAGTACTTATCACAGTACCTTGTCTGTGGTAGGTGCCAAGCAAATATTTTAGAAACATTAAACAAATTAGGAGCTGTACTTTTCTTTTTTCTTTTTTTGAGATGAGGCTCACTCTGTTCCCCAGGCTGGAGTGCAGTAGCACAATTTTGGCTCACTGCAACTTCCACCTGCTGGGTTCAAGCCATTCTCCTGCCTCAGCCTCCCAAGTAGCTGGAACTACAGGCATACACCAACACGCCTGGCTAATTTTTGTATTTTCAGTAGAGACGGGGTTTCACCATGTTGGCCAGGCTAGTCTTGAACTCCTGACCTCAAGTGATTCCCCTGCCTTGGCCTCCCAAAATGCTGGCATTACAGGCATGAGCCACTGTTCCCTGTTGTACTTTTCATTCCCACTAAAAACAAACCATGCAACATACAACAGTTTCTGGTATTTACATTCCAGATCCTATTAGTTTGTGATGTTCTCAACCAAAGCTCCCTACATTATATTACATTGATTAGTTCTTGAGATAAGCTTGGATTTGAGAGCATTTGTTAGTCTCAAATATTTTTAAAGCACTGATTTGATTATTCAGGAATGTAATTGTACTTTGTTCTGCAAATATTTTGATCTTATTTTCATTTAAAACTAGAATGCTTGGGCTGGGCTCAGTGGCTCACGCCTTTAATTCCAGCACTTTGGGAGGCTGAGGCAGGCAGATAGCCAGAGGTCAGGAGTTCGAGACCAGCCTAGCCAACATGGTAAAACCCCATCTCTACCAAAAGTACAAAAAATTAGCTGGGTGTGGTGGTGCACACCTGTAATCCCAGCTAGTCAGGAGGCTGAGGCAGAAGAATTGCTTGAAGCCAGGAGGTGGAGGCTGCAGTGAGCCGAGATAGTGCCACTACACTCCAGCCCGGGCAACAGAGCCAGACTCAGTCTCAAAACAAAAATAAACAAAACTAGAATGCTTAAACATCCTATCTTGGGGCAAAAAGTTAGCTTGATAACCTGAAGGTAACACTTGTTTCACAGGAATTTATAAATATATGCCCTAAGCCATTGATGTGATTGTAGACACTAGAAGATAAAATGAACACATTTGTATCTCAGAACTCTTGCTATAACCCAAAATGTATTATTAGCCATCAGTTCCATTTTCAAGCTTCAATGCAACTTTTTTTGGCAAAGGATTTTAGTTAAGTGCTTTTTTATCCTCTCTGAAAGCTGTTCTAATGTAAGATTTAAGATTGAGGTGTAGTAATGTCTTTCACTGCTTTTTTTTTTTTTTTTCCTGCCAACCATGAGCATCCACATGGGAGATTAAGGAATGAACTGGAAAGAAGCCAGCATACGGCTTTTCCATTCTTCCTGCCTCCCTCATCTTTTACTATATTTCTCACCTCTGTTCAACTTTCAAGGTGAAATGACAATGTGAGAAGGACAGATGGATCATGCCTGGATAGCAATGAGTCAAATAACAGCAGAAGTCTGAAGACAATGATCTTTCGTTCACTGTTTCCATAGTTAAATTGCTTTTTAGGACTCAGTGTTTCCTATAAGAATACCTGGAATTTTAAAACACATGCTTACCTGACTGCATATATGAGAAAGTTCAAACTGTTAATGGCTTTACATTAAAAGTGTATCTCACTTTTTAAAAACAAAAACAAAAATAGAATTAAAAGCATTAATGTAGGCAGTCTATGGCAGGTCTGGTCACTCCATTTCATGGTCTTCAGGACCAAGTTCTTTCTATCTGTCATCTCTGCCATTTTCACATGTTTCTTAGCACCTAGATTAGTAGCTGGAGCTCCAGACATCATATCTGGATTTCAGGAAGCAGGAAAGAAGAAAGTAAAGAGGGCTTTTCAGATGCTTCACCAGCAACTTTAGCTGGTTTCTCATTGACATCAAGCCACAAGGAAAAAGTCACTTTTTACCTGGGCACACTATAACCTGGAATATAATTTACATTCTATAAGTAAGGAAGAAGGGAGAATGAATATTGCATAGGCAATTTTAAGTCTCTACCACATTTCCAAACTTCACTCCCAATACACTTAAGGCTGCCATGTTGCACAACTCTAGCTGCGATCCACATTGCAGTCTATGTGCGCAAAAGTGGAAATATTAGATGCATTCGCCTAGTACCAGTACCTTTCCCAAAGGAACGTATTTAATTTACACCTTTATGTATATATTCAACATCAGAATTAAATGATAACTGGTCTCATGCAATGGAATAATTGTTTCTGAAATGGTTAAGTTTTAACATGTACATATGGAACAAGCATAAATAACCATCAGATATGACTTTGGCGTGATTCTGCAGTTATCTGCAATTCTTCTATCACTAGCCAGTTGGTGAAACAGAATTTTGTGTCTCATTATCATAATATTTCTCATCCTCTTACTTGCAGCAGATGAGACTAAAGTCTCTCCTCTTGGTGCCTTGATAATTTTTGTTATTCAATTATTTATATGTATCTCATTACATATTTATCACTTACCTGTGTGACATTTGGACTGGAAAGCTCCTGAGGAAAATAGACTACATCTTAAAGTCACAGTTCTCTGAAGACCCACAGATGCACCTCCAAAAAAGAATTACTCCTTCAGAGGGGCAGGAGCTGTCTTCTCTGGTTTGGAGGTTTTAAAAATAAAAGTCTAGTGATGTTTGTTGCCATGGATCTGGCTTGTGGGCAGCCAGCCTGAGAGGAGATGTAGGAGAGGAAGAATGTCCCAATGGTGTACAAGCTCCTGGAGTTCCTGTCGTCTCCTGCCCTTCCTTCAGTGAGCTCATAGTTTTTTTAAAGCTAATATAAGTTCATTTTTTGTGTGTGTTACTTGGAACTAAAGACCTCAATAATATAGCATGGATAATCATCATGTTATAATACTATGACATCATATTCTTATATCTCTGGGCGAAAAGGCTCTTTCTCTAAAGGTCACTAGCCGGATTTGGGCCAAAATTATCCAGAGTATTAATGACCTAAACCTCTCAAATTTCCAGGGATTTCAGGCTACCTTGAGATGCTCCATGGTCTCCAGGAGGAATTATAGAGAATGGGCCTTTTCCATTTCTAGCTTGAGGCTGGAAATGTCAGTCTACTCTCAGAGGTACAAAACTGAGTCAGATATGGAAAAGAGTTTTCTGTGATGGGAGAGGATTTACAAGACTCAGACTAAGCTTATAAGATATAGGTGTAAAATATAAAGAGCACTGACATGCACTGGAAGGGTTTTACCCTTCTGTGAGTAGACCTTTTCAATCTAAAGCACAGCAACAAGAAGCACAACCAAATTAGAAAATGTAGGCTGCATTCTGAACATTAACGAGTTTCTAGAACCTTAAGCAGCAATACCACATCTCTGATTGTATAGAAAGGGCATAAACTTACTGCCCAGATGCTCATTCAAAGAAGTCACAGGTTATCTAAAGTACAGTAAGACCCAGCATCTCTCACTAATGACATTTTCACTAACAAGTTACATTATTTTATGGTTTATGTTTCATACCCCTTTCTATTTTCCTTCTTACCTCACAGTCAGTTGCTAATAAATAATAAAATGAGCAAAGGCAGATAGCAAGAAAGAGAAACAGGGAAGCAAATGGCATGAATAACCCCAAACAACACGGACTTACCCTGAACAATCAAGAGCTGCTGATTTGCAAAATTATAGTGCGTCCTGGAGAGCCTTTTGCTTTCCAAAGGCTGCAAACTCTACAGTAATTACCTAATCAATAAGCACAATCCTCTTGCATTGAGCAGATTTGCAATTTTCAGGCAGAGAAATCAGAAATAGAGTCAGTGAGGGAATTACTTTATTAAGAAATCCTTCCATGTGTACAGGGTTTTATAGCTCACAGTGAACTTCACATTCATTATCTTCTTGTATTAGCCAGCAAACACTATAAGATAGAAAAGATATAGTTATTCACACCCATGGAAGAGCAAACTCAAACTCACAGATGTTCCCTAGGTATCTCTAATTCATGCATCTGATAAAGTCTTAGAGGTGAGACTTTAAACCAGATCCTGTATTCCTACTTCAGGAGCCTTTTTAAATTAAATTGACTGGCCAGAGGATCAGGAGCATTTGGCCCTTAAGATCACTCCATTTTTTTTCTTGGTAAGGTATTTCCCCTGATGATTCAATTAACATATGACGTTTATAGAAAATTTGTAACACAAATAAAGCAGATACAAATCACTCAAAACTGGAAATTGAATGCTAAAAATAGTTTAGCATGTGCTTTTCTAACATTTTTTTGTTGTGTATAATTTTTTGTTGTATAACCCAGAATAATAATTGTGACATAATAAATATGATAGGTATTGTTCCAAGTACTTTATACATGTTATCTTAATTAACCATCACAGTAACCTTTTGAAGAAGGTACTATTATCCTCATTTTATGAATGAAGAAACTGAGGCACAGCAGGGTTAAGAAACTTGCCCAACATCACATAGCTACTGTGTGTGGTTTAAGCTAATATGTTTGTTTTTCTTGCTTGAAACTAGAGACCTGAATAATATAGCATGGATAATCATCATGTTGTAATACTATGACATCATATTCTTAATTTCAATCATGCTCTTAACTTCAATGATAAATAAACCTCCCCCTACAAACCACACATGCACACATGCACACATATATAAATATACAAATTTAGGATCATCTCTTCATTTCTTTGGAAAATTCATTTTTTACTTATGTATCTTGCATATTTTTACATTATTCACCTGCAACCAAAAAGTTAATGTATTCCTTTGCTTCAACTCTCAGTGGCTCCATTACCCATAGGTCATCATACAAGTTCTTCTGCAGGGCATATGAGGCCTTGAGCTATCCAGCTCATTTATACTTGGAAACCTGTCAGCTACACTAAGGAAAAATCTAAGAATCCTTATCCATGCTGTTTTCTATACCCTGGATTTTGCTAGTTCTTTTCTCTGGAATGCCTTCTCATTTCTCTTCCTCAGTTTAACCTCTGTTATTTTTTTTAAGACTCTGCTTGGGAGCCATTTCCTCCAGGAAGAATTTCTTCTGCAACTCCACCACACTGTGAACTGAAATAGGTAAGCCTCATCTGTGCTGTCCCATGGTCCCCTTAGGACAAAGAAGCTTAGGCATTCCTCAAGTGTTTGAAATAAATCCGTTCAGGGACAAAGCCTGCCTAGACACTCCACTTGAAGTATGCCCAAGGCTCCCATTATGGAATCTAATTCTACTCTTGAGTGATCTTGTGAAGTCCTAAAGGAATCTTGAATCAGAATTTCCTTGCATTAGAAGAGATTCCTGGGAGTGGGCAGCTGGTGGCAGTCCCTCTTTGCTCCTCTCCCCCTCATCAGCCTGCCAAGTTTCCTGGTACAGAGCCAGGCTATGACTTAGAAGACTTCTCAAAGAGGCTTACTTCCCTACAGCTTTGACTGCCAATAATTCTCTTTAGCTTCTTGCTTAGATTAGTGAGAATACAAATTCCGTTTGGGGTAATACTGCTTTTTGTGAGTTTTCTATATCTTAGTATGAAAGAACAGTCTAGAAGAAGGTTCAGAAAAGGAAGGGGAAAACAACAGGACATTCTGAATTCTGCTTAAGGTTGACCCTCATTAGATGCCACCCTTAGAGTTGTAACCACCAGTCCCAGGGGAGAGAGCCTAGGGTACCTGGGCCTGGAAACCCATGAGGATTTCCACTACATGGTAATCCTTATACTTTTGCCTATAATGTCAGTCAGAGCAGCCAGACAGTACCCAGAGGGTCATGACTTGGCTATCTAGTGGGACCTGCTCACAGGGCAACACTGCCTCCTCCTTCAGAACTCACATAGGGATTTCCCCTGCATCCCACACTGGGACCTGCATACTTCCAAGAGCAGCTTCAACAATCCAATATTATCTGGAGGATTTGCTGATTGCGAAGGATACAGTGGTTACGATAAGGAATATATCTGTCTCTCTTATGACTCCTTTGTAGGTAATGGAACGTTACTTATTTAAGTAGTATCTCCATCTTTATGAAGGGAACAGAGTCTCTCAATTGCTATTTTTTTACCTTAACATCCTGCTCTCAAAATCACAGTAGCCTTGATACAGAAGTTTATATCTCTTATGCAGATCTTTGTTTCAAGTCCCATCACTGAAGCAGCTTATGGAAACTCATGTCGAAAATAACCTAGTCCTCAAATCTAATATCATTTCATTAATGGAAGGACCTTGGACTAGACAGAGGCTAGGGTGAGAATTAAGGTTGCTGGGATGATATTCAGTTTTCTTATAAAGGCTGTAATGATCAAATTCAAATCATTTCACTGCTGAGTTTTTATTTCCTCCTTAGAAAAACAGAACCTCTCTCCCACATACACGTGCTGATGGACAGCAGTTGGCAAACATCCCCAAAGTATTGAAATTATATGGTTGCCTTTTCTATTAACAACTTTCTTAGTAAAAGGTTCTTAGGGGCTCAGCATGGCTCAGGTAAAAATTGCCTTTTATCTATTTCTTCCTTGCTCTCCAGATAATCCTTGGCTAAAATTAGTAATGCTTAGTTCAGTAAAAGAAAAAAAAAAATGTTACAGCAGGGAGCCATGGAAACGGTGTTGGAGCCACTTCCCCTTCAGGGAGCTGCCTTTTGCAGTATATGACTTATTGCCGATCAAATGAAACAACTCACTGCATTTGAAGCCAGGGGTTGAAATTAGTTAAAAGCACAGGCAAATCTTCCAAAAGCACCATCCTTCCCATTTTTTTTCTTCTCCTTTCATTCCATCCAGGAAAGAAAAATTTATCTCAAATTAAGTGTTGAATTATTTAATTATTATACTTTAAGTTCTGGGATACATGTCCAGAATGTGCAGGTTTGTTACGTAGGTATACACATGCCATGGTGATTTGCTGCACCTGTTACATAGATATACACATGCCATGGTGATTTGCTGCACCCATCAACTCATTATCTACATTAGGTATTTTTCCTAATGCTATCCCTCCCTTTACCCCCCAACAGTCGATAGGCCCTGGTGTGTGATGTTCCCCTCCCTGTGTCTATGTGTTCTCATTGTTCAGCTCCTACTTACAAGTGACAACATGTTGTGTTTGGTTTTCTGTTCCTGTGGTAGTTTGCTGAGAATGACGGTTTCCAGTTTCATCCATGTCCCTGCAAAGGACATGAACTCATCCTTTTTTATGGCTGCATAGTATTCCATGGTGCCACATTTTCTTTATCCAGTCTATCATTGATGGGCATTTGGGTTGGTTCCAAGTCTTTGCTATTGTGAACAGTGCTTCAATAAAAATATGTGTGCATGTGTCTTTATAGAATGACTTAAAATCCATTGCTTTTGAATCCAGTATGAGAAGATTAATCTGCTGACTCACCATCCAGTATTTGAGGTGTCTTTTCAGTAGTTCTAGTGGAAAATGATGTTAAAGTTAATTAATGCCTTCCTCCATATATTATTTTACAGTTTATAAGAAAGATTCCCTGTGCACTGTCACTGAAGTCTTAGGATAACGTCTCAGAGGTGAATATGATGAGCAAACTCCCAATCAGATGAGGAAATTGAAGCTCAGCCAGGCTTGTAAAGTCAGCTTGTGACAGGAGGAAATAAGGTAAGAGTTTA